TACAATAGCGACGATTATTATTTTAAAAAATTTTTGTTAGGCTTAACATCGATGAAAATTCAACGCAAAATAGGTTAATAGCGATATACTAATATACTAATTACATGGGATATAATAATATACTACACTAATAATGGATTTTTTCATACTTTTCGGTTATCCGACTTTTCAATTATCTGACCAACCCCAGTTCTCAATTGGGTCGGATAATCGAGGTTCTACTGTATCTGATTTTCATTTAGGATACATATATATTGTAAATGAATATGAAATCATTACATAATTGCATGTAATAATTTTGTGAATAAATTTTAATAATAATAATATTTATGTGTACAATTGCTATGTAATATATAATAGATTCACCAACATTTCGACTAGAATAAATATATTTTGATCTGAATAACCGAGGCGGTTAAGACGTCATTCTACCATTCTGGGAAGACGAAATCGAACCCGGGCGGTAGGAAACCCCAGGAATTATGGGTATTCAGTTCCGGATATGTCAGCTTATGATCTGGCCGAACCCATGATGAGTAAAGTAAAAAGAGCCCTCTTAATGCCGTGCCAGCAGGGCAGAAACAGCTAAAAATAAAAAAAAATATAATATAATATATATATATATATAGTCCGAATGGGAGTTTCAGAATTGAAAAAAAAAGACAATTTTTACTTTATTATTTACAATGAGAATTTAAAATAATGTACAAAAATATCGTGTGAAAAAAAGGGATTTGTACAGAATAGATTTTACAAAATATATATATCTATATATAAATAATATAAAAGTGCGATTGAAAAGAGGTGGAATTTCTTTGAATTCGTAAATCAAGAATGAGTGATTTATTAATTTATTTCATTTATGTTTTTAGTTAGTTAAATATAATTTTATTTACCGATTAAAATCAATAAAATAATTAATTATTTAAATTTTTATTTAGAAAGATATTTTCTTTTCTTTTTTTTTTAAAGAAACCATTCGAAACGTTCAATGTTTAATGAAGTTTGTATTCTTGTGTACGATTAGTTAACTCTATGTATCTTATGGAAAAAAAAAGTTCAAATAAATAATGTTTTCATTTAAAATTACAATTACGCTATTAGTATTATTATTATTTAATCTTTAGAACTTAAATTTATTTATTTGGAGAGATTTTAAGAATGAATTTCTTACTAAAATGACCGTTTTATATAATGGATTACATTCGATACTCGGCAGCTATATACTGCATAAACAAAGCTTGTATAATTTAGAATACAATTTTTTTTTTTTTCAGAAATTTTTCTTTTATTCAACATTTGTCAATATTGATCTTACAGGATTACTTTCCGCAAAATGTGCTTTAAACATAATTTTTTTTTTATACCACAATTTTAATAGCCTTGTACGGGTTTAGGTCTAGAACATTTATTAGCTCTGTTTATCCACGCTAAATTTACATATCGGTTCCACTTAGAAATCCAACTTTCCACTTATATATTTCTAACTCCAGTTATTCTTATCTATAACAGCATTTTCTGGAATCTAGAATACATATCAGTTTCTCACTTTATCTGTTATGTTATAGAACCCATTCCTTCTACATCACGCAGCAATATCCTTTAAATCTAGGATTCGTGTCAGCTCTCTCATTACTAGTTCTTTCTTTTTTAATGATATAGATTCTAGTTTTCCGATAATCCTCTTTAATGAATCTATAATAAACGTCATTTCTTATATTAACTTTCTTATATCTATATATAATTTTTTTTTTATGTAGGCCTATATAAATATGAATTCCTGCTAATTTGTTCNTTTAAAGTATTATGTACAAATATTAAAAGGTAAAATTCATATAATAATGTCAGCGTTTTAAACGTATTAATTTGAAATTCGTGTTTAAAGTGGCATAAAATGTATTGTTGCCAATGTCCAAAATTTATAGTGTGTCTGGGGCAATTCCGGGCACCAAGTTAAGGCCGGACATAAAATAGTGTAAAAAAAATTAAAGTTTGGCTGCACTGTCATGTTGCGTCATGATTCTATCAGCCACGTAGTATTGACATATGTTGCTACATCCGCGCGTTTTCCTCCATGTTTCATGCAGCTGAAACTCGTTGTTTTTGAAAGATTTTGTTGTTCTTTCGGTTCCGCGTTTATCACAAGTGTCACATTAGTGATCTTAAATATTTCTATATGTAAATAATAATGTGTTTTGTGCTACTTATTTGCTATAAATTAAATTGGGGATAGTTCTTTTCTTTTTTTATATTCTCTTTCCAAAGTAGATTAGAATCAAACAATTTTACAGTATAGTGTCAGGAATTGCCTTGGGATTTACTTTATAGTACATTTAATCGGTTTTTCTCGTAATGCTTTACAATATTAGGATGCCCATGGTCAGGATCTGCTTTTTAACCATAAGCAACCTCTCTTTTTTTATAAATTGACGAATCCAATATAGGCCTATATAAATATGAATTCCTGCTAATTTGTTCGTTGTTCTTAAGATTCTGTTTACAAGTTTTCAATGAATTTATTATTCTTCTTTATCATTTTACTTCCTCGGTGATATACAAGTATCAACTACTCCAAATATATATTTAATTAATTTTTATCTCGTGTTCCGTCAATTGATTTATAACCCGTGTTTTCATAAGTCGAATTTACTATTTTTTTTAACGTAAAAACTTATAATTTCTTTCTTCTAATATACGAAATAATAGCGTAATCAAGGCTAGACTTACACTTGTTATGGCCTTAAGCTGTAACACAACAAACCTTATAATGATATATACAAAAATGTGAGGCCTTAAGCTATAGATACATTATACAAGGCCCTAAGTTACAGCTTGTTTAGCTTATAGGTATAATAGTATCAACTATATCAGTTCTTATTGTCGATTTTAGCGATAAAGTATGTAACTTTGTAATCACAGAACGGATTTTTTTTCTTCCTTTAATAAATAATAATGCCCAATAACACTCCGATTTTCAATAATAATTACTTATTTTTCTTATAATTTATGTTAATCTTCGTGTTGTTTACATTTTTTTCAATACACTTACCTCATTCTCATCCCCTTGTTGCCTGTGATGAATCTCAAATTGTTGCTAAAGAAATTAGCAATCATATCAGCTCCGTCATCACCTACAGCAGACCTAGCAGATCCTAATTCGATTTACTGAATCTAGATTCACATCAGCTTTAGTTCAACACGACACTTATCACTTTAACAAGTTCCAGTATTAAAGATCTGGTATAAAAATCCTTGTAAGAGAGAGATAATACTTTCATATTTATGAAATTCATTACCATTTAAACGAATGGAATACGCTCGGACGATTTCATCCAATAATTTGTATTACTAATTAAAAATTAATTAATTATTCTTATCTTCCATGATGACGTAGATGATGAAGATGTCATTTTAATAATTCGCTTGATGGGATGTGTTATCAGATAAACTATTAAATGAATATTAACTTACCTATAAATATTTATCAGCTGTAATCGATGAAATATTTAAAACGAATAATCAGATTATTTAATTTAATTTAATTTTTTAAATCATCTACTAGCTTATTCTTGTCATAAATGAATTAAATTTCTGTTTTATCATCATTTGGCAGAATTACTAAACATCGAAGAAGATTGGTCGATGTTTTTCTTTTCTTTTTTTATTTAAAGGTGGCTGCACTCAAAAATCGATATTCTTCTCTTAGATTTGTACAGTTTTGTACAAAAATAGAGAATTTCATAGACTATTTTTATTATCTGAATATTCGACAAGCGACTGAAATGTATTTTGATCTTAATCCTTCTTAAATAACATGATAATCACACACTGGCTACAGCGCAGTATTCGTAATGGTTACACCACATTTACAAATTGATAATTCGCGTATTTAATGCAATTTAATATTAAAATTCTTTAAGATTTTCTTTTAAAAAAATAAGAAAAGTTTTTCTAAACTTCAATTTGAAGGTGTTTCCACAAAGATAAATCCTTCTAAATGTCACGTTTTCAACAAGCCATTCCGTTGAAGATTATAGAGAAATATAAAGACTACAACAGTGTTAAGTTATAGATTTTTAAATCCTTCGTTTTATAAAAACGTTCTCTAATCTGTTATTTTAACAGATTCAAGAAAAAAAAGGGGGGGGATGTTATAGAGTAGAAAATACTAATCCATGAATTTCTCTAAAGATTTATTTGAATACAAGCTTGAACCGGAGCAACGTTTTGTATAGTAATGAACCCTTGACGATAATTTGTGATAATTGACTTACATTGTGTTTCCCACGTTGGAAAAAGGATGTGGAATCAGTAGGAAGCAATTGCGTATGTCCGTGGGGAGATTGTCGACCTCCAGGGAATTCGGCATCTAACTATTATCGCCCGGATAAACAAGATGATTTTGCACGTGCTGCAGATAAATTAGGAGTTACTATGACAACAAGAATAGAAATAAGTATGCATGAAAGCGGAATGTTATTATAATTCTATGTTTCTGCATTTTATGGGGTTGTTAGGACGTCCAGACGGTGTTACTCCCTGATTACCTTGTCGTTTCGTCTGTACATTTTTGCCAAACCTAT